TAATATAATATTTTTAAATTTTTTATAATATCTAAAAAGTATTTTCCACTCAAATTTTTTATAAAAATATTTTTTTAGAAACCAATATAATTTTTTAACTAAAAAATAATTTGTATTAATTAAATTTTCTAATAATAAATAAATAAAAATAATTTATGAGAAACTACTTTCGCGACAAACACAGTCAAGATGTTATTGTCATCCCCCTTGTCTTGTTCCGCGGATGCTGGATGGTCCCCACCCGCGAAGAGTTTGTTTTTGACTTGGCGAGCCGAGATTCAGAGCACGATGCTACTCAGGCTCGTGGGAAAATACTAGCGACGGACCTGCTAAGAAATCGTAGTTGTAGCGACTCATGGATCGTGACTCTTAATTATTTGACATTGTAACCTTCGTGGACCTGCTGATTAATAAAGATTTTGTACAAGTATTTGAAAAATCTCTAAATATACCATATTGACGTGGAAATACGTTTTTAAGATTATTAAGAAAAATAATCCATTCTTAACTAGTTGATTCAAGAATATTCTTTATTGTCGGGGGGGGGAAAATATCAGGCATTGCTCACCGTAGACTTACCATCAAATGGTACGATAACGACTGTTGCCGTCACTCCCCAGAGGATCGTTCAGCCATGTAGCTAATTAATTGATCAAAAAACACGAATGCCGAAAAGCTTCCGACAACGACCACCCATGGCCTTCCAAACGGTCCCCCAATTCTTTGTTCTTTTTCAATATTGATTCACAATAGATCATTTTTAGTTTATTTTTTTGGTGAAAAATATTTTAAATATTTTTGCACCAAAAAAACAAACTAAACATTATCTATTTTATTTAAAAAAATTTAATTTTAATAGATTTTTAAATAAAATTCTAAAGAAAGATGAGAGAAAATATACATACAAATTGCAACACAACAAATTTCATTGGGTAGCTAAATAAAAAAATTTACAAAGCAGAGGGAGCCAGAGGCGAACGGACGCAGACGTTATAGAAGAGAGAGGTCAAGAGGGCGGTGCCACGTTAACACAACGTGTCGTGGTTCCATGCAACCCCCTGACCGCATACTGCTCCCACGTGTTGACACGCAATTCCGAATATTACAGCGAAACAGGACTAGCTACACTACGCCGTTTTGGCAGTCCATTTCGCTTTAGGACCGTGCGGCGCCTGATCTTATGATATTTTGGATAGGAGTTTTTTTTTTTTTCTTATTTTTACTAGGATTACTATCTAAATATTAATCTGCCCTAGAGTTGCCATGCATATTACTGAAAGAACCTTCAGGCGTAGCCAGCTGGGGCAGCTACTGTTTGGCCAGATAGCAAACTGGAAGATTCTAGCCAAAATACAGCGTTATTTATTAATTTTACTCAATTAACCTGGAAAGATGAGATGAGAATCACTCATGTCTTGGATCCCGTGCATTTATCCCCTTCCTGAACAGCTTTCTCTCCTCTTCTCTTCTCGTAGGCCTCGAAGAACTCCTTGTTTTCTTTCTCCAACTCCTTCCATACTGTTGGGATATTTAACACACACACAGGCGCAAGTTAATTACTCCAAATGGCTGTATAATTAATTACCTTGTTAAGTTTAGCTAGCATGTGTTAGTCAGCTAGTGTGCCTTTGTGCAAGTACTACTGGGTAAAGAAAAGAAGATGACTACTGGTACCTGTGGAAGTAATGACAGGTTTGATGTTAGCATGCTTGGACAGAGCTTCCATGCACTCTTCTTTGCTCATGTTGAATATGATGCACTCTTCTATTAGATGGTGCACCTGTAAAACCATCAATCACATACATATACCTTATGAATACAGCTTAATTCCATGCAGAAAAAGAAGGAAAGAAAGAAAGAAGAAAAGATTATACATCATGGATAATACTACTGATCAAATTAATAATTCTCGAAATACCATGTGGATGTATGAAGCAGAAGAATCACCCATGTCCTCCTCTCTTTTTATATAAATATGTATGTATGTAACTAGTAGCTTCTAACAATATATATATACCCTACTCTATCTTTTATGATCAAGAAATTAAATCACGATTCTTGGGGCAGAACAGGCTGAATATACCAAGATCAGAAGAGAACAACTAAAACAGAGAAAGGTGAAGAAAAGACACAAGGAAAAAAGAAGGGAGAGAGAGAGAGAGAGAGAAGGGAGTAGATCAGAGAAAGCCAAAGGGGTTGAAGGTTGATGATAACGGCGATGGAAATGGAATACAAAAAAGGGGTAGCAGCAGGATGCAGGTTACCATGAGCAAATTAAGGACTTAATCACCGGTTTATAATAAAATAATCAATATACGAGGTCATGATAAAGTGGGGTCCCAATGCCCACGTGGGAGAAGGACTATAGTATACTAAATGCCCACGTGGGAGGAGGATGATGATTGGCGGAGAGGGGATTAGAGGAGATTTTATAAGCAAACCTCATTTGTCTTCTTAATAGGTGACGTGACAGTGGGGTCCTCCACTTTCCATTTTAAACCTGAACCGGAGGGCTCACTTTCATGGATTTTTTTTTTAAAAAAATTTTAACACTGTGATTAGAAAAGGTTTTCAAAAAATTTAGAAAAATAATATAGTTTATCATAACCACTATTATTCATAATCATATTTTTAAATATAACTATTATTCTCACTCGTGATTTTATTATAAACTGTGATTCAAAATTACAGGTTTAATATAATTATAATGCTCTTAAATAACAATTATATAATATATTTGTGATTCGGAATATTGGTTACGATTAATATATAATCCCTTGTTCGTTTTCGATAGTTCTCGAGCATGCAGAGAGAAAAAATCCTAAGGACCTCAAAACCTTCAGCCAAACCAGCTTTCTATAGCTTGAAATAGCCTTCAATCACCCAACAAAATCATCATCATCTTTCCCTTGTCTCCATGGGTTTTTCTATTGTTTTTTGGTTGCAAACCATCGACCTAAACAGTTTTCCCATAGCATCACATTGTTGGTGATTAAATATTTTTAAAAATTATTCACTTAATTTTTTCTGGTGTTTAAATACTAACTTATTTATAGATTTAATTTTTATACGAGGATGTTGGTGATTAATTTTTATAAATTAAAATTTTTAGAGTTATTAAAATATTAGCTAAATTCTTAAAAAAATTTACAAATTTCATTTCAATTAAAAAATATTAAAAAAATCAACACAGGTATTTTTTAAAACAACACTAATTTCTTTCGCATTTTTTGTAAATCAAAATGCAATTTTTTTTATAAAGATTGGTTTGCATGCAACATATAAAAATTATTTTTTTTGTAAGGTCATGTTTGGAAAAAAACCATTTTTTCTTTCTTAGAAAAATGCTAAAACAGGTCTTTTTAGGCCAAAAATCCTTTTATACAAAAAAGTGGTCAACCAAACAAAGTCTTAAATATCTGACCTGATTTTGACCCACGATGTTGACTTGAAAACAAACCAAAAACAATTACCAGAGCCAAAAATAAATTAAACATAAAAAAACATAAAAGCTCAAAGTTTCTTAGATGAAACATATTAAACATGAAGAATATTCAAACCCGAAATTAGCAATGTGAAAACCAACCCAGATTAGATTTCAAGCGAAAAAAAGGTATTGTTTTATTCGTAAACATATATAGATCGAAAAGCAAGCATCAAAACCCATTGATTATCACTGAGAAGACATGGTTGATTAAAATGGGTTTTGATTCAAAACTTAAATCCTAGAATTAAAACCCATAAAACTTATTAATGATGCAAATAAATCCTTGATTATTGATTGATCGAGTTTTCTAGATGGTTCACTACAAAGAAATAGATCAAAATTAATCCAAATCATGGGGTTAAAGCAATGTTTTTCCCAAAAATATGAAGAACGTTGCCTATTAAAAAACCTAGAATTGAAGAACAAGCTGTTAAACATAAAAAAATAGAATTTTTGCCCTCTAAACCTTACTACTCTTGGTTCTCAAAAATCACATTATCAATACCAAGTATAGTTGAATAAAAAAAACTAACAAAAAATCAAATCATCATAAGCATGCATTAAGTTCCATTTTTCAAAACTTTTAAATTAAAATAACAAACATGCTTATCCAATCTGAGGTTCAAAACTAACACTTTGACATTCCATAGGATTAAAAGAAAACCTAGGAGTCTGGAACAATACATTAACAAACCAAAAAAAACATTAAATACCTTATCACCACATTTGGTAGATTTCAATCAACTTACCAGGACACTAGTCTTCACAACAATATATTCAAAAAAACATTGCATTATATAGTAAACAAATGGTTTTGAATCCAGCAAGTTTTATGAATTTTATTTTCAAAGTTTACAAAAATATAACTTCCAAGTTTGAAATCTTCAATGGGAATAGATTTATGATATTGCTTTTCTTTCTTCTTGTTTCTAAACTTAGTATGGCCAAACCTTTGAACTTTTTTTCTTTGCTCTTGAACTCAATATTGAATCCTTTATACCTCAAACAAATTCCTTCTTTCTTTTTCCTTTTTCTTTTAATCAAATTATCTCTTCTTTTAAAGGTAGATTCAGAGCTTCTAGAAAAGTTTGTTAAGGTTATAACAAACCAAAACTAGTTTTGTTTTATCAAAAGATAGATGACTTTGGATTTAGGTGTTTTTAATCGAACTTAGAGGCCAAAATAAAATGCATCAGCCCCTTTGATCTTGAGAGAAGTGTTGGTATAATAAAAATATATTGATAAAATCTTGGTTTATCAGCAGTCCCCAATCTTTGTGATATAATAATATACAAAAACTTTAATTAATCTCTCAATTCAAGTAAAGTGGTGGGTTTTACTCGTATAGAAGGGAGACAAACCGGGAAAAATACAAAGAAATATGCATATGGATTTATAAAACTTCTTTCAAAGATAAAAGATTAATAATTTGTACTTAAAAAAATTCTAAGAAATTAAAAGTACCATACCCATCATTCATACAAGTTTGTAAGTGGTCATGTGGAATTAACACGACTAAAAGATTGATGTCTTCTCCCAAGTGCAGGAGTGTCGAAGTAATAAATAACCCGATAAGACCGAGGTCGAACCACAAGGAGGTTAATTATACAAATTATAAATAACAATAAAATAACAACAACAATAATAATAACAATAATAATAATAGTAATAACAATAATAATAATAGTAGTAGTAGTAGTAGTAGTAGTAGTAGTAGTAGTAATACTAATAATAATGGTAATAATAATAATAATAATAATAATAATAATAATAATAATAATAAAGAAAAAGAAGGAGAAGAAGAAGAAGATGAGAACTTTGAGATGAAATATTAATGTAATGATTAAATAATGATAATAACAAATGTCAAGGTTAGAGGATCCACTAATGGTATGTCAAACAAGTATAGTATAAACTCTTATTATTCAACTGGAAACCACACACAAAGGAGGTTTCAATCTGATTATAGATTGTTAACATGATTATATTAGTCATCTTATTCGATTAATGCTAATACTTGTAAATCTTGTCAAGCATTCATGATTATAACTTATGTTAACAACAAATCAAGTTCCTTTCATAGCTCAGGTTTCGGTTATACCATACAGTATGAACTATGAAAGTGCCAAGCATTTGTTGTACCAAGTGTTATACAACATAAATCAAGATTAGTCATTTAACAAGCAAAGTATTAAAGAGTGAACAAGATAACAAATACAAAACATGTTGGTATCAAACATTAAAGTCCATATTGAGTTTACACTATACTTATTCTTACACCATTAGTGTAACCTTTTCACCTTGACATAATAAACTTAGCTAGACACAATAAAAAAAAGAAAAATAGATAAACAAAATAAGAACATAAATAAGATAAGAGTTAACTAAGCAAAGGAAAGAAATTGAAAGGCATAAACTTGATATTAGTGAACGCAAAGCATAAGCAATACAAAAAAAATACAAGAGAGAAAGCAAGAGCATGATCTTGATCTGGAAACCAAGATGCCTAAATCCATGGCAAATGCCTCTTTTTATAGGCCAAAATTGGGAACTATTGATTTGATGACTAATTGATGAGTAGGTGGCCAACTCTTGACTTGGTGACAATCCTTATCTTCTCTTGTCTTCCAAAAACGTCATTGATAATGTCAAAATTGGAGCCACTCGAAAACATGAAAGTTGTAGGCAATTGTCTCAGCTTTCTTGTATAAAAAATTTAGCTCATTTGGACTTCTAGAACTCTATATATGGCCAAAATACTGAACAGTGCTCGGGCAAGAGGATAGATTCGGGCTTCTTTGTTGTTGCAACAATTTGGACTTGAAAATGGCCTTTTTAGATCTTGGGCTCCATATGAAAGTTGTAGGCCTATGTCTTACCTTTCCATCCATATAAAGTAGACTTAAATCTGAGATCTATAGCTCCAGATATGACCCAATTACCGAACAGTGTTCTGGTTTGGATTACACCGACATCTCTTTTCTAAGTTTGGCCATCTCTTTATCCTTTCAATTTCAGTTCTTAAATTCATCAATCAATCCTTTTATTTATGTGATAGGCCTGCATTTAAAATGAACATTTACCATAAATTAAAGGTATCTTATATTATTAGATATATTATTATAAAACATGCTTTAGTTAAAGAGTTATTGATACTTCAAGTGCAAAATGATGATATAAAACCTTGATAAAAATGCACTTTTAAGTACTAATCAGGAATCCAATGGGGGTGAATCCATACTTAGAAATTTATAAGTAACTATAAGCTTTTTAGAAAATGGGAGTTTATAGCTTTCCCAGCATTGTCATCGGGGTGTAAGAGCTTCTCACCGAAGACTGATGATTGGATGATGTTGCTATTGTACAAAAAAGACCTCTAGAGAGTGAGGTTATTGCCTTGAAAAGATAGAGTTATGTAAATAGCAGGGGGATGAGTCCATACCTTATTGATTTGAGGGACTATTGTCTTCAGAGAGATTAAGTCAATCACTTTATGAGTTGCGCAAAAATTACTAGGAGGTTATTATCTTAGAGAGATAAAGTTATGCAAATGGCAGGGGGATAAGACCATACCTTAGTAATTTGAGGGACTATTGTCTTTAGGGAGATTGAGTCAATTCTTTAATGAGTTGTGCATAAATTACCAGGGAGATTATATTTATCCCTTGAAAACTGGGGTTATCCTATGAATATTGGTGCATATAGCATTGAAAAAATCACATTCATCCCCTAGATATTAATGCATATAACATTAAGAAGATCACATTTATTCAT